GTCAGGATATACATCATACCGACACACATACATACTTATGCAAAGAGGAAAAATATGTATGTTAATACAGAAAAATGGAATACAAATAAAAGAAGAGAGGAAAAGAAGAAATTTGTTGTTTACCAAAAAAATGAAATAAAATAAAAATCATACATTTCGACACTTGACTTGTGTGAACCCTGTACTACACACAACAAGTAGTTGCTGTAAACGACACGACGAAGAAGAAGAAGCTGATTTCTTGTCAGACCCTCACACACACACCACCACCCTTACTGATACACCCTCAATTTTGTAATATTGTGTACTGCTACTTGATCTGATTTCGAGGGGAGCGTAAAATGATTGACTTACAACTACATGTAAAAAAGATTTAAAACACACACAGCCACACTCACACACACAGATTCAATTTCAAATATATGTATATGTATGTATGTGTGTAGTATTATATAGTATATTGAATGTGATGTGAATTTATTCTTCTTCCTTCTTTGGATTATATGTCAATTATCAAGAAATTCCAAAGAAAATGAAGGGCTTAGCTGTGTTAAGAAGTTGAGAGATTGCCTGAATGCTAAATGCCATTACGGTGGTGGCTGTGGTGCTCGAAGGGTACCCGAAAAAATAAAAGCAACAAGTATTTGTATACTCTACCGAATAAATTGGGGTGTATGTTAAAATTGTGATTCCGTTTGCAACACCTCGATATATTCTTGATGAGAAAAAAATAGTATGTCATTCAAAATTAGGAAAGAGACCGCAATATATCAGATGGATAATTGAAATTTGGCAAATGCGTTGCTATTTCTATTGTTTTCTATTGAAAATAGGATATCGACGCCTCCGAAGAATAGTATGCTAAGGCTGAAAAGTGAGTTTTTCAGCAGAAGCTCTCAAAGTATGGAAGTTTCTTAAATCGTACGTGCCATGCTAAGTACATTTTTGCTTATAACTTTGGTTTGGATTGGCCTATGATTACCTTTTCGTCTTCAAATAATTAACTCGCCTAATTTTAGACATTTTTATACTTTAAATTATATTTTCCAATTGATATAAAGTCCCGCTTCATTTTTGGGTACTTTGATGCTTCTAGCGGCATTTTCAACTGAATGGTGTGGACTTTTTTAAAAAAATATATTTTTTCGAGTATAATCAAGGAGTAATTATACCCTACACAACTATGTTGTCAGGGTATTATAGCTTTGTGCAGCCCCAGAAGTTTGTAACGCCGCGAAATATTGGTCCTAGACCCACCTTTAAGTATACCGATCGTCATATCTCGACTAGCTGAGTCGATCTAGACATGTGTGTCCGTCCGTCCGTCCGTCCGTCTGTCCATTATAATTTGTAAACACGATACAGGCCACAGTTATGGACCAAACTTCACGAAATTTTGCATGTAGGATGGGTTCTGGCCAATGAAGACCCCTATTGTTTTTGGAAAAGATCGGTTAATATTTAGGGGATGAAATGGACCAAAAAATTTATTTTTGTCGGTTTTTCTGGTCGCTCCAGAGGCCGCAATTACGACCCAAACGCCGCGAATTTTTGCATGGAGAAGGGGATCAGGCCAAAGAATAAGCATGCCTGTTTTGATAATGATCGGTTAATATTTAGCGGGTCAAATGGACCCTAACTTTTGTGTGAAAAATGACAAAATTTGTATTCAATAGCGTATATATTTACCACTGAAGGACATAGACCCGAGAAGTTGATAGTATATCCAAGAGGAGTGGTTGACCATTAAATTGATACCAATTATATTGTCGTAGGTACTCGGATGCGGGAGTTACACTTAAATATTTACAGGTGCTTATGTATTCATATATTATTTAGTAACCTATTATCACACTGGAGGGCGGAAATATAGCGATGATCGCTTTGAAATGTTCCATGAGGTTCCAGTTATGGTCAAGGACAACGCCTAAAATGTTAGGTGATGATCAGATAATATTTTTCGGATGAAGTGTACCGAAAACTTAATTATTTGTACTTTTCGAGTCGAAAGCCGAAAATCACAACACAACCCACGGTGAAGGGAATCTGTACAAGTAATTAAAGGTGTTGTACTGATTATTAGTAACATTTGCTGGCCTCTAGTCATTAAAAAGTGTGTAAATATCGCGAAATATTGCCAAATCTCAGAATATAGAACCACAGAAAGTTGGATATTCATGGAAGTTGTGTAGGGTATCGTATGGTCGGCCCCGTCCGACTATACTGCTCCGCTCACTGGTTTTTTTAAATATTTTTTTAAGGACATTCAATTTTAACAACATTTTTTAACAACTATTTTTTTAAGATAGTCAAAACGTGGATTTAAAAAAAAAATCAAGAACAATTATGGAGTGAATTTGTAAAATATTTTTTTTTCAAGGGCAATCAAGGCGTGGATTTTAAAAGAAATTTAAGGATAACCACGCGAGGATTTAAAAAAATATATTTTTTCATGAACCCTTAAAAAGGGTGGATTTAAAAAAGTATATTTTTATAGGATAATCAAGGCCTGGATAAAAAAAAATTAAGGACAATCAAGGCGTAGATTTAAAAAAATATCCCATATCAACATCCAGTTCCGCTGTTGATAGACCTAGGCGAGTATTTTTAAATAAATTGACTATCAGAGCCATATCCGTGGATTTTTTAAATATTTTTTCTAAGAACTAGATATAGATGTGAAAATCCTTTTTTTTCAAGGACTAGATGAAGGGTGGATTTTTTTAAAATAATTTTCTTTCAAGGACTAGATGTAGACGTGGATTTTTTTAAATAATTTTTTTTTCAAGGACTAGATGTAGACGACGATTTTTTTAAATATTTTTTTTCAAGGACTAGATGTAGGCGTAGATTTTTTTAAATATTTTTTCAAGGACTAGATGTAGGCGTAGATTTCTTTAAATAATTTTTTCCCAAGGATTTTTAAATAATTTGTTCCAGGGACTATTAGGGCTTGGATTTTTTAATAATTTTGGATTCTTGAATTCTTCCTTGGAAAGGAAGAAGAAGCAGACCTTGAGCTCGTCTATAAGCAAACTTTTGATCTCATATATCGAAAGACCTTTCAGCTCCTCCAAAAGAAGACCTTTCAGTTCTTTTATAGAAAGACTTTCAGCACTTCTATAAAAATATTATTCAGCTGTTCTATTGGAATGGCCTTGAGATGTTTTAAAGGAAAGGCCTCCTCTTTAGGAATGTCTTTGAGCTCTTCTATAGGAAAGACCATGATCCTCTTGAGTTCGTCTATAGGAAAGGCTTTGATCTCTTCTATATAAAAACCATTAGCTCTTCTGTAAGTAGACCTTTCAACTCTTCTTATAGAAGGTCTCCCCGCTCTTCTATAAGAATAAAGACCATGAGGTCTTCTATAGAAATACCTTTCAACTCTTCCATAGAAATATCTTTCAGTCCTTTCAGCTTTTCTGTAGAAAGCCATTTCAGCTCCTCTATAGAGCGACCTTTCAGCTCTTCTATAGAAAGGCTTTCAGCACTTCTACTGAAAGACCATTCAGCTGTTTTATAGGAAAGACCACTCAGCTTTTCTAGAGGTAAGACCTCGAACTCTTCTATAGAAATATCTTGAACCTTCTACTCTAGAAGGCACTCCCGCTCTTCTATTAGAAGAAAGGCCATGAGGTCTTCTATAGAAATATGTACCTTTAAGAAACACAGAAACACCTTCCAACTCTTCTATAGAAAGTCCTTTCAGCTCTTCTATACACATTTCAGATCTTCTATAGAAAGACCTTTTAGCTCTTTCATAGAAAGATCTTCGGTAGGCAGACTTTGAAAGACCTTTCAGCACTTCTATAGGAAGACCCTTGAGTTCTTCTATAGGAAGAACTTGAGCTCTTCTACAGGCAAACCCTTGAGCACTTCTATAGGAAGTCCCTTGAGCTTTTCGTTGGGAAAGACCTTCAGCTCTTCAGGAACCCTAATAAAGCATGGATTTTTTAAAGAATATTTTTTCAAGGACTCCACATAGTCGTAGATTTTTTTCAAAAACCACAATAAAGCGTGGATTAAAAAAATGTTCATTTCAGCTCTTCTATAGGCAGACTGTGAGATCTTCTATAGGAAAGACCTTGAGATATTCTGTAGAAGAACTTGAGGTTATTTTATATTTTTCTTCTATAACAGACCGTGAGTTCTTCTATAGGAAAGACCTTGAGCTCTTATGTAGAAAAACTTGAGGTCCTTAAAAAAGACAATGTTATTCTTCTATAATAAATCCTTCAATAACAATATTCTGTCAATATAGATCCATGAAGGTCCTCTGCTCTCCTAGTATGTTACGAATATTATTTCTTCTATAATAAGTCCTTCAAACACAATATTGTTTCAATATAGGTCCATGTTTGGACATAGGCTTCTAATATGAAGATACCGTTCAGTTTCGGTACCTTGAAGGTCCTAGCGAAGTCTGTGAATTGGCATTATGTTTTGTCAGCAATTTAACTTCCATAGCTGCTGACTGATTTTAGGTATTGTCAAATGTCTTGCCTGATTTTGTAGCCCTTCATACGAAGGACCCGTACAGTTTCGGTATTTTCAATCGGTATATATATTTTCGAATCTTAGTCTATGAATTGTTATTTCGTTTACTCGAAATATGCAAAACCCTCTTGGCAGGAATTTACCTTGAATATAGCACCCACATGAATTTCAAAGGTCTCGTCACGATTTTAGGTCTTCAACATCTTATCCTTTTTGCTCTCCTTAAGAAGGATATTTTTTCCATAATACGACTCAATAACAAGTATATTCTCTAATATAGCACCCAGTTTCACTATGTTGAATGTTCTACGTGGTCGAATGTCGTAGGTCGAAGAAAAAAACCTGACATCAAATTACAATGTCTAGAAGTCGGAACGTATTTTTTAGTTATTTTTTATGCCCACCTCAAGTTGAAGGGTATAAAAAATTTCGACCTGAACGAATATGTTTTTCGTATAGCTATAAATAGGTAAATATATATCTATATATGGGTTCGTACTCACCTTATACCTCCCACATTTAATATTATGCGATTTTCGCCATCCATTTTGTTGCTGTTGCTGCTGCCGTTTTTGCTGTAATGCTTGTTGCTGTTGTTGTAACAAATTGAATGCACAATTTATCATTCCAATTGAAATTCAAAACGGAGGGAAAAACGTTGTGGATTTTCTTGCTTTAGTTGTTTCGTGTGTTCTACGTTTTCCCCCGTTTTCCACCTTTGTTTGACAAAAGGTGTGTTAGTAGTTAGCTAGCTAAAGGTTGTTGACCGGTTTCTGTTCTATTCTTGTGCTAATGTTCGTGGCAGTTTATATTTCATTTTTTTCACTGATGTTTTGGGTTATTCGTGTTCCTTAGATTAGAAATCTTTTTTTCGGTTGTTATGTGATTTTTTTTTGTTGCTTTTCGATTTCAGTGATAGGCGATTTTCTTGTTGTTTTTGTCGTCGTATACAACTTCTTTGATAAGCTTCTTTGAAAACATCAAGGATAATCTATCGAAGTCCATATATCTTTGTTAGCCATAGCTTCACACACCAAAAAAAATCAAACGAAAGAAAGAAATATAACCCATATCATGTATAAATGTATATATTTGTATATGTATGTGTATGTGAATATACGAATCCTTGTATACTCAAATTAACAGCTCGTTTTTTTCGGTTAAGGTAGGCTTAGTGAATGACATTGTTTACGATACGGATGCTGCAAAACAATGACGACAATAATGATAGTGGTGGTGGTAATGGTGGTGTTGATGGCATTTACGTTTCGCTCTGATGCCTGCCTCGAACCTGCCAGCCAGGCAGCCAGCCAACCAACCAGCCAGTCATTCATCCAACCACCAGTACCACTATTGTTTTTGTTGTGCTTGTGTTTTTGGTATATGTTTTATTCAATAGCATTTGTCATTTTGTTTAAGCTTAGTTCAGTTTGGTTCACTTCACGGTTTGTTGTCGTTGTTGTAGCTGCTGTTGCTTTTGCTGCCTTGTTAAATGGCTTAATTGCACTTAAGTTGCCACTGAATGAATGAGATTAATTAGTTAATACCCGTACTCGTCGTCGCACTCTTCTTAAAAAAAATACGAAACACAACAACGACAATAACTAACGGCAGCGTTAACATTACCCGCCAACAACAAAAGACCGACAACCTAAGGCTAGAGAACCTAGGGCCAACAACATTCATCATCGTTCAACAACAAGAAGCGAGCAACTTTTGCTTTTGTTTGTCGTCGTCGTTTTTTTTTTTTTTTTTTTTTATTCGGTGTTTTTGTTTTATTTCCATCCGTGTGAGAGAATGAAAACAACACGTTTTTAATAATAAAAGGACTTTTAATTTGTTACTCTTATCGTACCGAGAATTGCTCACCATTTATGTGTGTGTGTGGGGGGGGATATATATGAATGTGTTGCTGGTGCTGTGTGTGAGGAAATGCTTTTAGCAATGTCACTTGAAACAGAGATGCCATATTAGAGGTTTTTTATTTACATGTAATTAAAAAAAAAAATGGCAGAATATCTTCAACATCGAACAATGTAATATTAGGTAGGGAAAAAAAAAGAAATTCATAAGGCCTATCGTCGAAAATGTTGATAAAATCGGAGAAATGATAGAAGTTAACCGCCAGATTAGCAGTCGTAACATCGGCCAGGTCTCCTAAAAAGGTCTCCTATGCGAAAACGATCGTGAGGAAAGAGCAGTGAAGCACCTCAAACGGTGGCCAAACCAGGACTAACGGCCAGGAAGGTTCTGCTATGCATTTGGTGGGACTGGAGGGGGATTATTTATTATGAGTTGCTTCCATATGGCCCAACGCTAAATTCTGATATCTACTGTCAACAACTGGACCGTTTGAATATAGCAATTGACCAGAAACGGCCACAATTGGCCAACAGGATAGGTGTCGTGTTCCACCAGGACAACGCTAGGCAACACACCTCTACAGTGACCTCTACAACCACAAACTTTGGGAGCTTGGTTGGGAAATGTTAATGCATCCGCCATACAGTTTTTCTGGCATAGCAAAATTTCTTTAATGATAACAAATTTGTATCTAGGGAGGATTGTGGAAATCGACTACTAGAGTTTTTTGCACATAGAGGGCAGGACTTCTATGAGAGAGGCATTATGAAGTGATCTTTAAAATGGCAACAAATCATACAACAAAACGGTGCATATTTGGTCCAAATTGGACATTCCGAAGCATTTTGAATAATGTCCTATAGATCATATAAAAATAATGGATTTCTTTTTCCCCAACCTAATATTTAGAGACCTTAAAGCAAATAACCTAGGTCCGTTGACTATAAATGTTGGTGAGCTTGCTCTAGGCGGTCACTTATTAGGGGATCTATACGAACACCTATTGGCTATTACATTGACGCAAGATCTCCTGCGAGAAAGCAAATAGTCTGAAGAGCCTGGATGTTGAAATTCAAAACCCATTGCTGTTACAAAAGAAAATGGAGATCAAACTAACTGTAGGGATAATAGCAGGTCACTGCAGGATTATTGGGACATCATTGGAGTGGATTACTGCCTTTTATGTGATATTGAGGAAGAGCCGGAAACAATTGTACATCTAATTTTCACATCTTCATTATCAAAAGACATCGACCGTTTGGTAGATATGATATTGCACAATGTACCAAAGGTCTTCAAGTAAAATCAGCTGTTAAAAAACTGACCATTCGGATCATTTGAGATTTTTTATTAGAAATGTCTGTTACTTCTTGTGATATCTCCTAAAAAAGGTCTCCTGTTTACTCTTCTATAAAAAAAACTTCTAGTTTATAGTTTCCAAACCTCTTCAAGAAGATTTTCCTGATATTTTGATCTTAGGCTATAAATCGTAGTTATATTTTATTAGAAATATTTAAGCCCATATTCGATAAGAAAAATAAAAATGTGTTACGAAAAAGTATCCAGGTTTCTATAAACATAATTGTTGGAGCTTTAGCCTTTTTTATTTTCTAAAAGTCGATATCCTGGAATTTACTTGGAAGGAACGCTTTGGGTCTCGAATAATAATAATAATAATAATAATCACTGAATTTTCAAAGAAATAGTTCATCCTCAAAGGAATACCGTTTTGTCTGATGAAAGCGTTTTACTAACGAAGATTCGGTAAGGGTGAAAATGAATATCGAACTATTAACTTTGAGAATCATATCAAAAACCTTATGAACGACATTTTTGTAGGTAAAAAAAATCTCGTTTAGTGGTATTTAGTTTGTGATTCATGAAAATAATCAAAACCTATAGTGAATTTGTCATCTTCACATACTTGACAAGGGTTTTTGCCTCCATTAAGAATTGAACCCCCAACATTTCAGTAAAGGTTCATATCTTAAAGGACCTAGCAACACTTTTTTTGATTTGCGCGTCAGTCTCATATTCTCAATAGTAGATAAGTTTGTAGAACCCATTTTGATGATATCTATCATATCCGAGATTTTTTCTTATATAAAAATATTAATGAAAATATTATTGTAAATGAGCAGACTGTCTCATCATTTTAGAAAATTCAATTTTAAGACTAACAGTCATTTGTAAGTATGCACATCGGATTGGTTTATACGTCGCATTCTATTCGACATAGTTTTCATATTGTGGTACGGTCAACGTTAGTATTTTTCGGGATCGTACATACGAAACTATTATATTTACGATGTTCTAAGAAAATTAAATACCAATTTACGGCAACTCAGGTTGAAACTTTAACATGCTAATGAACATATTAGTAGCATTTCTTGGAAATTGAATTTGAAGTGACTATAAGTATGTGTTCCTATAACATTTTCATATAACATGATTCTATGAAAATAAAAAATAATAATAGAAGCCCTTTCGAAGATCCTGTGGTCTAATGGTATAAAATTCTGACTCTTAAACTATCTTCTGGCTTACATTTTATTATATTAGCCTGAAAGTAGTCCCTAAGATGACCTATATAAGACAAATAATACTACCAGAACCCCGTATGGAATTCTATCAGCTCTTATAGATATATTTTAATTTAATAAAATAATCAAGGTATCTTATATTGTAATTTTAAGAAGTTAGGGCAACATTCCTGTAATTTTTAAATGTTGAATCTCATTAGGTAAGGAATCTCCCTACAAATATTACACATATTTATCTGTTTCATATAATGAATTTCAGTCGCATTTTACGTCACAGCTCGTAAGTAGTATTCAAGATCCTAGCCCGATTTGTCTAGCCTTGAGGGCATGCAGTTTAGTAGTTAGTTTTCTCATGGTAGGAATTTAACATTGAATAACCCTCTCATGAAGGTCCCGATCGATATTAGGTATTTTGATAAACGACATTTTTACATGTTTTTTTTTTTTTTGTAGAATTATTCTTTAATTACTACCACAATTATAACCAGTGAGCGGAGCAGTATAGTTTGACGAGCCGATTATATTACACCCTACACAACTAGCACAGAGCGCTCAGTTTCTGTGGATCTATATTCCGAACCTGGGTAACATGTCAAAAGTTCCTCTGCAAAATCATTTGAGCCGCTAAATATTGTCCTTAATTATTATGACAGCTATTCGAATTATTTGGGCATGGTTGTCTATTTAAAAGTCCACGACTCCTCTTGAAAATAATATGAATTTCTCAGGCCTTCTTCAGGCTTATTTATGTACTATACTATGCAATTTTTGCCACTTTTCTACACAAATCCTGAATTTGTTTAACCCGCTAAATATTTACTGATCTTAATCATGCTTTTTCTTTGACCAGATTCCTTTTACCCATGTAAAATTCCGTGAGATTCGGGTCATAATTGCGGCTTCTGAAGCGACCATAAATACAGACAAAAAAGTTTGGCCTGAACCAGTCCTTAATTTCGCGATGATTGATCCATAACTGTGGCCTGTAACGTGTTTACAAATTATAATGGACGGACAGACACACATGTCTAGATCGTCTCACCTAGTCTCACCTAGTGGGTCTTGAACCAATATTTCGCGGTGATACACAATCTTGGTGCCACACAAAGCTAGAAAATCTAAAACATCAAAGGATAAATTTATAAGGACTGTAAAGACCCTGTTCTTTAGGGTCAATTATGGATTTCATCAAAGAATATTTGCTGTAACTCATAACGAGTAAAAGTTTTTCTATGCCAGTTTAAATTTTCAATCGTCAGAGTGCAGGAATTT